TCCCAAACTTTGTGCCCCCAAACCACTAACCTGCCTAAATTTGGGGTTAACAACTCTTCTGGCAGTCAAGACCAGGGTCCTGCTGGTCATGTAATGATGTCCAGGACACAAATGTGCCTGGATCATGCTCTGAAGGGCAGTGGCCAGGTAACAGCCCTATGGTTTCTCACCGGTGGAGAGCTGAAATGCTCAAGGGCTTCTACTGGGGGCTGGACTGGCACAGGAGGGCAGTGATCTGGGGGAAAACTGCTCCCCCAGCCCCATTCCTATTCATTCCCCAAGCTCATGGCTGCATGCATGATGATCCTCTAGGTGGGAAGCATCCACCGCTTTCTTTTATTCCCCATATTCCCCAAATACATCAGACCCCACCTCTCACCCAAGGCCTTTGTGTTTTGTAGGCACTCTGGAGCACCCCAGGCTTTGGGAATGGCCCAACTCAGGGATGCTGTAAGTTGTCCCACCTCCTTTGCCACCATGAAGAAGCCAGCAGGCAGTTCCCAGCCCGGGGAGAACCAGCGTGAGATCAGTGGCAATGCTGGGCAGAGAGAGATGGTCGTGTCCCCGCACCAGACACCATCCAGCTCGGCTTTCCCCTTGCACCATGGAGGGTGGCTGGGTGCTCCCAGGTGGGTGCAAGAGCTTTAGGCAATGCCAGAACCTGCGTTGTGTGCTGGGAAAAGGACATCTCATTGATGGTGGCTCCCTCCGGCCAGCCTGGCTTTGCTTGCCTGGGCCACCCACCTGTGCTGAAGGTGAAAAGCACCTGGTGAAGTCTCTGGGTTCATCCTGGTGACAAGAAATGTCACCCAAGAGGCTCCATGGTAACAAATCTACAGCATGAGCATCATGGCCCAGGCTGGGAGACATGGGGCACAGCATAGGTTTAAGAGTGGTGGGAAACACCTTTCGTGACCCAAAATGGAGCATGAACTCTGTGTCCCCAAAAAACCCACTGGGGCTCAGGAGGATCACACGCGCTGTGCAGTTCCCCAGAGGGTGACCCATGTGGTTTATAACCCCGGGGGAGCAGGGGACCTTGCTGTGATGTCCCCACTGAGGAGCAGCAGGGTGTCCCCACCACCCTGGGTGGGGACCATCAGGGAAGGGGGTAACGTGATCCCCCAGATTCACCCACCAAAGAGGAGTGTGGGGCAGGAGGAGGCAGCACAGAGCAGCAGCCCATGTGTTTGCAAGACAAAACCCTGCTGTGCTTCACTCCTGACATCCACCGCAGTCTCCTTGCATTGCTTGAGTGCAGAAACATTTAGCCAAGGGGTGGTTTATTGGACCCTCCTCTTCCTCACCAGTCCTTGCATCTGCTTTTCCCCTCCGATGCTCCCTTGGCCCTTTCGGGGTAACTCAAGTTGCATCCTCCCGGGTGCCTTGCAACCCCCTGATTCTGCCAGGAAAGAACAAAACAATGCCATTGCATAAAGGACAGCCATAAAATATAGAAGAAGGGCAAGGACTGTCTCTCCCCCTCTTTTCACAGCGCCGGCAGCAGCCAGCCCCACCGTGGGAGAGCGGGCAGTGGAGTTGCTGCAGCAACGGCTGCGAGAGGCAGAGAGTTTGTTGCTGCCACCCGCTTTGAAGGGCGATGTGAAGCTCCTGTGGCTGCTCTCTGTCCACCCAACACAGCTGGTATTTGTGCTGGGGGGCTGATTCCCCAGGGTTGGGCTGCACCGTGAATGTCTGGTCCCTCCTCCCCGCCTGCCCAAGGGATGTGGCTCATTCAGAAACAATGCTGAGAGCCCCCCTCTGAGCCCCGGGACTCAGGAGGAATTGCCTGGCAATTTCGCCTGCCTGAGTTGATTTTTCGAGTTTACATTCTGGCATTTGGGGTAAATTTTGCACCTGGTGGGTTACGTACTCCAGAAGAAACTGTCAGGTCTTTGGCACATCTCAATGGGCTTTGCACCATTATTCACAGCCACTGCCCTCACTCGGGAAGGGACAGCAGCATTTCTTGGGAGCAAGAAGGCTTAAAAATAACTCTGATCAATCCAAGCAGCCTGAGAAATGACCGAGAAGGAGATATCCCAGGATGTAGGAGCAGGGTCAGGCCCTGGAGGCTTGCCAGCATCCTGCAAAACCTGCTGCTCCCCATTAGTATGCTGCCTCTGCTTCACCCTGAGTTTCCCCACATGAATGCTTTGAGGAGGGGGCTGATGCTCTTCCTGATTTTTGATGTTTCAGAGCCGTGTGCCAAAGGGTTCAGGCTGGGAGGTGGGGAAAGAGACCCCACTGCAGCCTGATCCCCACGTGAGGCTGGCTGTCAGCATCGTTATACTTGGACGTGCCACACGTTGCAGGTCTGGAGGCACCTCTGCTCTCTTACGGTGGGGTCTGGGGCTTCCCAAGGTCTTTTTCTCCTCCCCAGCCCATCCTTTGTGCCTCCACCAACAGATGCTTTTCCTTTTTGGTGGGATACCGCTCGCTGCAAGAGGCAAACGCTGCTTGCCCGTGGCCATGGGGTCTGTGCCATCAGGCTGCCATCAGCAAGACCTGAAGTTTGGATCAGTTGACATCACCTCTTCCTTCGCCCCTCACCTCCCTCGTCGTTCCTGGAAACGCCAACGCCATAAACGGTGCCATTTCTGTAATTAATCTCGCGGGGACATCGTTACCTGCATGAGTCATCTGCTCTCAAGGCTCTGCAGCAGCTCATTGTGCAACCGTGTGGTGGGGGGAACAACGTGTGAGCAGAGCCAAGGGAGGGGGACACCCTCCGGACCCCTTCATGCTGCCAAGGCAGGGCACTGCACGAGGACAAATGTCCCAGGCTGAGTAGGGCTTAGGGTGGGAGGAGGTGAATATATGTATATCCCAACAAAATACTCCACATTGTAACCAGCAGTTGGGCAGGGGGACCATCCCCACTCCCTGTTTCATTCCCCCCCCATGGTTTTATCTTCTCCTGACACACAGGGGTTCAAGGCTGACCTGCCTCACTGATATCCCCGGGGTGGGTTTGTACGGCACCAGTCCCTTGCAGGCATTTATGGGCTCATAAACTCCAAGGCTGGGCTCGCTGGTGGCAGGGCTCCAGCAGATCCTCGCAGCCTTCCAGCTGCCGGAAAGGCCACGACACCGGCTGGGGCACCGGGCGAGGGTTTTGCAGTTGAGATAAGCTGGTGAACTCTGAGCTGAACATAACAAAGCCAGAACAGCCTCTGCCCGGCCGGTGAGTCCTTTGCCAGGTGTTTGCAGAGAAAACCGCAGCGCTGAAGGATTTGCGTGTCTGTACCTAGAAGGAAGCAAAAACATGGCGTTATTTTAGAGCAGAGAGCAGGATATTTGGGGCTTTCTTTGCTTGTTAGGAAGTGGGGCTGTGGTTGTGTTTTAAACAGACTTTTTCATTTTTCAGGGCTCTTCCCCCCACTGCAGGGAGTTGTTCTTGCACTGACAATGTTCCTCATCCCTCACGTACCCCTTGGACTCCATCCTTGCCATGAGGACGCGGCAGCTGGCAGAAAGGCAGCCCGGGCCAGGATGATGATGAAGCCCCTCCAGCAGGTATTTTGGGGAGCGCTGACCTTGCTTCTGGCTTCAAAGGCAAAACAAAGCTCTTGGGCTCTCTGCTGCTCCTCAGAGCTGCCAGGCCACTCCCACGCCATGCCTCCCCTCGGCACGGACCTTCAGGACCTTTGCGTGGCCCCGTGATGAAGCTGGGCTCAACACAGCCACAAACGTATAAGGAGAAATATCCAGTGGATCAACTCGGGAGATTAAAACTGCAAGGTACCTGGAAAAGCTGCTGTTGCTGCTCCCCACATCTCATCCGTGTCATCAGACTTCTTAATCTCACCCTTTCCTGCCCTATTTATGAGGTTTCCAGAAAGCAGACCATAAAGCAAATAATATTTCTAGAGGCTCACACACAATCCCATGCCACGCTTCTTTACCCCAGCCAGCTGGGCGTCAGCTGGAAGATGATCAGCAATAAAAGCAGCTGCTTCTACCTTCGTACCTTGCACTTCCCTCATTTTTTTTTAATATTCCAATTCCAAAGGGAGATAGATGATGATATTTTAGGACCTAGTGCTACGTATGGATTAGCAATCCTGCTTTTAAAGTGGAACTCTTATATTCCTTCTGCTCCTCATTATGCTTCAGAGTGAACCAGAGTGTGATCTCTGTCATTAATCTTCTAATTAAAAGTTTCTCTTTGTAACATGAGCTGCCGAAAACCTGCTGGCCCATCATTTCTGCCCTGTTCTTCCCTTCTCTGTTTACCAGGGCAGTTTGCTGATTTTGCTTTTGAGGGACCCTCTGATCTGTCTTTTCATCAAACAAGAAAAATACCAATGTGAGAAACCACAGGAACGAAAAAACTGCACCAGTTTCAGAGAGCTCTGTGGGGCTGGAGGGGATGTTTCTTTAGCCTCTCATGCAGGGAAGAGCTTTTTAGGATCAGGAGGGGCTGCGTGAGGTTGTGCAGCCTGAGAAACTTTACAGTGGGATTTTGCCTCTCTGAAAGTCCAGGGTGCAAGTGGAGGTTACAAAACACAACTGCACAAACTGCTTTTGTTGTACTGACCTGCTCCCTCTCCCCCTCTGAAGGAAGTTATGTCTCTAATAGGATTTAGATATTAAAGCTCCAAATCGTTGCAAAAAAAATAAGTAAAATAAGCAGTTTTCATCCGGGGTTACTCAGAAATCTGCTGCAGCGGATTCCTGCCCAGGGCTTACAGCCGTGGGAAACGTTTTCACAGAGGAGATTCAGGAGTTTTAATTCCGAGAGTCAGCGATGACACATCTTGCCCAAATCTCCTTTGGGATATTTTCTCTGACCCTATCCTTTGGACACCTAATTCTGCCAAGGAGGGATTTGAATACCAGCCGTTCTTGTTCTGGATGGGCGAGGGATGAATCAAATCCAGGTTCACCCGCAAGTCCCCGGCGTCTCCCAGAGCCATGCGGTGAGCAGCTGCCTGCGTCCCATGATGAGATTTTAATTTTTCCAGCCTTGGGGACTGAGTTTATTAAGCCCCGTGTGGCCCCTCCTACCGTGGGAGGGACAGCTCCAGCAGCCTCTCTAATACTGGGTGTCACACAGCGGTGCCACCATTCGGGTCCCGGAGTGTCACAAGCAAAGGACACAGCAACCCAAGTGCGGCAGAGAGCAAAAATAACCCCTCCATGTGCGTCCCGGTGAGGTAAGTTACCTCCTCTCTTCTAACTCTTAAAGATGCTCCTGCCCAGTGAAATGCATCTCTGCCTGCTCTTTCCTGCCTGCCCTAAAAGTTTGTGGTGGTAACTGACCTTTTGGTTTCGCCTGTTCAGAGGTTAGTGTAGGTTGTTAGACATCATGTGGGTCTAGGTGCTCATATTTTGAATAGCCACCAGATTCCTGGAGCATGTTATGAAAAATTTGACCCTTTTTCTTACTA